TCCTTTGGCCGTCGACCTGCCTCCATGTAGTGGGAGGCTACCCCCCCAGGCTGGTGGTGCGGCCGTTCCACTAGTCTAATTATTTATTTTATTTTATTTTATTTGTTTCTGATTATATTTTGTTTTCTTGTATTTTATCGCTCTGCTGACCCTTGGGGTCCATTTTATTTTGGTATACCTTTTCTAGGTACGTTAGCCTGTGACCACGGAAATTGGCCGAGTCAAAGTGATGGATTAGTACGGAGAGATTGAGACAGAAGGAGGTACTGGATAGAGAGACCGGGATGGTTTTTAATGTGAAGACAACAACAACAACAATATTCTCACACGTATTACGATACCCAACCCTGAATATCAAGCTGATGCTGTGGATTGGTCATACTTCAAGGTCGAACGGGATACTCTTTCGCTGGTCGCCCCGGTGGTCTAGTGGGTAGCCTCGCAGCCTGCTAAGGGCCATGTCATCGGTTCGGGTCCCGGCAGAAAGAGTTTTTTTTTTCTTAATATATCACAACATTTTTCTCACCAAATAAATCCTGGTCTAGGATGATGTACTGCTGTAGCCTTCTTTCCATCTTCCATGATTTTTACATCAATATTATTTCCTTAAATTACATCAATATTATTTCCTTAAATTCCTAAAACCAGCAAGCTGTCAATATACACTGCGCCGTGTCCCCTGTGAAGGTTACATCTTACAGCAGTACACGACACTTCGGAGGGATTCTCCCCGATATTTTGTCGTTGACCCAGTAGAGAACTACAGGGGATGTATTGTAAAATGTAGATTTACCTATACAGATGTTATTGTACTTAGCACCTGCTGGCATTACTGATAAATCATCAGTGTATAGACTTATAAAGACTCGAAATAAGTCCAGTACACAGCCGGTTTTCCTCCACTTACTGAAAAGACTCTACAACATCCCGTTCGACTGTGCGTATATCTCGAATGGGTAGTCTTTCTGTGCGTGTATTTATTTCTCCTTAATAGATGAAGGAATGGATATGAAACCTATACCGCAGGAATTCGGAGAAGAGGCGGCACAACTTTGTAGCCTGCTGCAACAACGTGGTCGGTACAAGAAAACACCGATACACGCGTGCAACACTTAGCATTCAGCCAGCCGGGGATAGAGAAGGAGTGCTTGGCACGGTTGGTAACACGCAAGAAAGGAGACAAATGGTATCTACGCAACCCTTCAAGATAGCAGTGCACGAAGAATGTGGGCAAGTCTCGGGGCAATGTGCGGGGAGAGAGAGACTCTTTCGATCTCCACCAGTCTCCGCCATCGACTACATTGCAGCACCACAAAAGGAGAGAACCACAGACTTTATCACAGAATGCGCCGCCGAGAGAGCAGAGAGTTTCATCACGACTGTATTCATTCGTCTGACGCCTCGAGAAGGCCTATGCCATCTGAGGGCTGGCTGGGGCGCCCCTGTCGCTTGTCACTTTCCGTGAAGCATATTGTTTGTTTTTTTAGTTCTGAAAGTTTCTTTGCCGTCTTTTTTTGCTCTGTAGAACTGATTGGTCAGCCCACTGCGTACTTCCCGCACTCCGAAAGAGTGGGCCAACACACACACGTCTGCCCGTCCACCCTAAACGACCGCACACATTCACGCCCCCTGGCGCGCGAGACTCCACCTCGACCCTACCGTACCTCGGGTATAGCTGCGGCTTCCCCTCTCGCTCGGCTTGTTGGGAGCGCTACAACGTCTCCGGCTTCGAAAATATTGCACAAACCAACCTGGGGGTGTTGTTGTTTCACCGGCCGCTCTCTTACTAAATAAATGCATCACGTAAAGAAACTAAAAATGGCCGCGCGCGCGGCATCATCGTCAGCTGCTCATGCCGACGAAGAACACCGGCTCTCTAGCGGAGGGCGGCGACGGTACTTCGGCTCAGTGGAGCTGGGCGGCGCGGCCGGGCAAGTCAACACCAACGACGTCGTCGAAATCGCGGATCAACCAGGCCGCCAACAACAACGCGGGGTGGCCCAGGTACGTTCCGAGTCCACTTGCGGCGTTGAGGAGAGGCAGCCCACCTGAAGGTTTGTAGGGATTGTAATGTAACTTCACGGCTGTGTTGGAGACCGGGGGTGTCTGCGAGCGGTAGTGCGGAATTTTGCGACCATGTACATGTGTCATGGGATGAGGACGGAGACAGAAGAGGGCGTCTGCCTGCTGCCGTAGACCTTAGCCTGTGATCGAGGTTCCATGCAGCGTCAAGAAGAATACATAGCATCGAGGAATCCGCCCAGGATGGTTCTGGGTACGTTTCCTTCGGACTACAACGCACGAAACCCCACTGCTGTTGTCGTGTAAAGTCGACCCGGTTCAATATATTTTCCATTTTGACCTCAAAACTGGTAAACTGGCGATCCGGCTACCTCATACGCATACGTAATCTATTTGCTGGTAAGATGCCCGGCAAGGGGGCATTGTTCGGCGGGGGCGGCTGTCTCTCCCCGGCACCTTTGTATTTACATGTAACCCCAGTTGGGAGAGAGAGGCAGAGAGAGAAAAATGGCCCAACAATCAAAAAGCGAAAACGCCGCGCGCGTTCAACAAGAGGAGCAGGGCGACTTGTTGGAGGTATCCAGTGTCGAGTCGTTCCTTCTATTTTCTCCCCCAATAACAGGTCCACACCTCTTCATCCATCCGTAAATGAAGTCCAGGATACCCCAAACTGCAAATTCGTGCGAATCGACCGCTGAGTTTTGACAGGAACGTTCCTGGTGCTGAAACCTACCTGTCGTGCGGCGTATACACTATTAATAGTACATGTACCATTAGTCTAGTCTATATATTACCATTTTATTGGTCTGCCCGTCAGTCTTGCTCGTCTGTAAGTGTACCATACTTGCTGGACCGATCAGCCAAGGTCTCGCATCTCGCAGGAGCAATAACACAGTTTTTGTTTCTGGATATGCTCTCCGTCTCCCGTCTCCGTGAATTTATAGTCTACTGTACTCCTGCATATCAAGTCAACTCTGGTCCTCTCCGATTACAGAATGTAGTGTCCCCGTGAACAGGTTTGGAAGACAAAATGCAACGACGCCAAGGGTTGCGAATATTTTATGCAACTCACCTTTTTTTTTGGAGAATTGGCGGGGGGTACCCAACCCACGACGCCAAGGGTTGCGAGTATTTTATGTAACTCACCTTTATCCTTTTTAGGATTAGGGGGGGGGG